GCTGGTGCCATGGCGGCACAGGAGCTCCGCTGGCTGACCTTCTTGCTCACAGACTTAAGTGAGCGGCCTAGCTCTGCCCCGGTCCTGTACGCTGACAACAGGGCCATGATACTCCTGTGTCAGGAGCCTCGGCTTGAGGGCAGAGCAAAGCATATCCAGCTGCGGTACTTCCTCCTGCGCGAGCTACAGCAGCGCTGCCAGGCCCGCGTAGTTCACTTGGCCTCAGGTGCCAACACAGCTGATATCTTTACTAAGGCGCTTGCGCCTAAAGATCATCAGCGGCACTGTGTACAGCTTGGTCTTGTTCCTGTAGCTACTCACCTGTTAGGATCCTGATTGTGTACTCTCTATTATATATACTTGTCAGACTGGCCTTGTGGCCTTACCTCCAGTGGCTGGACTAGTAGTGCGGCCCTGGCTTGCTGTAGTCTTGTTTGTACCCTTGCTGACTGGTCTCCAGACCCCTGCCCAATGGTTGGACTAGTAGTGCCACCCTGAGCTATTTGTTTCTTGCTTAGCTTCACCCCTTGTCTAGCCTAGGGGGTGTGTCAACTTATACATGTTAGTTGTATACAAGTTATAGGCTAGACTGTGGTATGCTTTTAGTGAGTACAACCAACTAGTATTTGTTCTAGGTTTCTACCTCTAGTTTATTATTCAGTTCTTACTTTAACACTGATCATTCAGTTCTTATTCTAACATGGTATCAAGCGTAGGTTAGGATCCCTCACCTACCGCTTCCGCCCGTACCCTAGCTAGGCCCCGTCGCGCCTCCTAGCCCCGTCGCGACCCCCTAGCCCCGTCGCGCCCCTCCTGGGCCCCGTCGCGCCACTAGCCCAGTCGCGCCCCTACTGGGCCCCGTCGCGCCCCTCCTGGGCCTCGTCGCGCCTCCTGGCCCCTTCGCGACCCCCTAGCCCAGTCGCACCCCTCCTGGGCCCCGTCGCGCCAACCCTAGCCTCGTCGCGCCCCTTCTGGGCCCCGTCGCGCCCCTCCTGGGCCCCGTCACGCCTTTTGGCCCCGTCGCGCCCTGCCTGGCCCCGTCGCGCCCGCTCGGCCCCGTCGCGCCCTGCCCGGCCCCGTCGCGCCCGCCTGGCCCCGTCGCGCCCTGCCTAGCTCTGTCGCGCCCTGCACGGCCCCATCGCGCCCTGCCCGGCCCCGTCGCGCCCGCCTGGCCCCGTCGCGCCCGCTCGGCGCCGTCGCGCCCTGCCCGGCCCCGTCGCGCCCGCCTGGCCCCGTCGCGCCCTGCCTAGCCCCGTCGCGCCCTGCCCGGCCCCGTCGCGCCCGCCTGGCCCCGTCGCGCCCGCTCGGCCCCGTCGCGCCCTGCCCGGCCCCGTCGCGCCCGCCTGGCCCCGTCGCACCCTGCCTAGCCCCGTCGCGCCCTGCCTGGCCCCGTCGCGCCTGCCTGGCCCCGTCGCGCCTGCCTGGCCCTGCCGCGGCTGCCTGGCCCCGCCGCGCCTGCTTGGCCCCGCCGCGCCTGCCTGGCCCCGCCGCGCCTGCCTGGCCCCGCCGCGCCTGCCTTGCGCCCGTCCCAGCCGGCCCCGCGACCGCCCTCGCGACCTCCGCGCCCGTCTGCTCGGCCCCTGCGCCCGTCCCAGCCGGCCCCGCGCCCATCTTGTCGGCCTGGTGCCCGCTGCTTCTGGCCCGAGCTGTGTGCAGCCCGCTCGTCGTCCCTGCCCTGGCCCTGCATCCTCCCAGGTACGGTTCCCCATCCCTGCACCGCACTACACCGCCCTGCACCGCACTGCACTACGCGGTACCACCCTGCACCGCACTGCACCGCCCTACACAGCATTGCACCGCGCTGCACCGCACTGCACCGCACTGCACCGCACTGCACTGCACTGTACAGTCTTGCACTGCTCCTGATGGCAGCGGAGCTTCGCTTCGACGCTGCAGGCCAGCCTCTGGAGTTCGAGGCGTGGCTCGGTGACCTCCGTCGCCACCTCACTGGCCATCGGCAGGATGGCCACCCGCTTTCCGCACACCTTGACGGTACGCTCCCCTGCCCAGACCCCCCTGCTGTTCTGCCCGCTGACCCCACACCCGCTGAGCGCCAGTCTACTGCAGCCACTGCCCTTGCGCGCTCTGTCTGGCTTTCTCGAGACGCTGTTGCTCAGCTTGCCATTAGCAATGCCCTTCCCCCGTCCGAGCGCCCTCGCTATAGGTCCATCACTACCGCCCTGGCTTACTTAGATGCTGTCATCAAGCGCTATTCCACCCCTCCTGCTGCCTCGGTGGGTCGCCTGATCCTCCCGATGCTCTTTCCCGACCTTGCGTCTTTCCCCACTGTCTTTGACCTAGCTGCCCACATGCGCTCGATAGATGAGACCTGGCGCGCTGCCTGCACTGACGCACAGCTTAGAGCCCACCAGCCGCCCATTACCTCTACCCTCTACCTGCTTGCCACCCGCCTCCCTGACCGCCTTGCCGCCGCCCCCGACCGCTTCCTTAGCATTCACCCCGGTGAGCTCACCCTCACCGACTTTGTAGACACCCTGACTGTTATTGAGACCCGCCACCGCTCCATCGCCCAGGCGAGCGGTACCGTCCCGGTCCCTATCTTTCAAGGTTGTGCCCCCGCTCAGTGTACCTTCTCCGACGGTTCTGTCGCTGTAGCTGAGACTGCTGCAGCAGCGCAGTTTCGTTCGGGGAAGGGCCGCCGCCCCAAGGCTGGGCGCGGCGTAGGAGGCGGGGGTGCAGGAGGGGGTGGTGGTGGAGTCGGGTCGTCTGGTGCTGGAGCGGACGAGGGGACCCTGCCCAGTCCAGCTGAGCCGCCGCCTCCGCAGTCGCAGCAGCAGCAGCAGCAGCCGCAGCAGTCGCAGCCTCCGCAGCAACCGCAGCAGCCGCCGCAGACGAGGCAGGCGAGTGTCATCCCGCCCGGGTGGCCTGGCGCTGGAGGTGGTCGGTCGCGTGGTGGTGTGCCGAGTGGTGGTTCGGGAGTCGTGCGTTGTCAGTACAAGATCCAGACCGATCCTCGCCGCGGCTTTGTTTGTGGTAAACTCGGTCATACCACTCCCCGCTGTTTTCGTCGCCTCGACGACCTGTTTCGTCAGCGCTTCGGCCCGTCGCCAGACCTCCCGGACTGGCACAGTTTGCTTTGTCGTCAGATTCAGATTTTTGACATGGACATGGATGCCATTGTTTCTGCTCTTCATGTGATGTATGCTTATGACTCTAGTGCGCTTCCCGCTTATTACTCACTGTCGTCTAGTGTAGGTGTGCCTAGCTTAGCCTCCCCTGCTGCGTCAGGCGTAGGATCCCCATCTTTGTTTAGCCTTGGTGCTTCCGCCGTCGTTCCGTCGCCAGACGCCTCTGCTTCGCTTTCCTTCACATTGGACTCTGGCGCTTCTCGGTGCTTCTTCCGCGACTCTACTACACTGACGCCGCTTCCTGTTCCTGCTGCCGTTTCTCTTGCTGACACCTCCGGCGGTTCGGTAGTCGCCCACAATTCCACCACCCTTCCCTGTCCGGCGGTTCCTTCGGGCTCTCTTACAGCTCTGCATATCCCCTCGTTCTCCAGGAACCTAGTTGGTGTCGGCTGCCTCCAGGACCTTGGCGACACCACTACGTTCCCTGGTCACGAGTGGTATGCTGTCTGTACCGAGGCCGCCACTGGTGCCCAACTGTCCACGTTCCCCCGGGACTCGGTGTCCGGCCTGTTCACTCTGGACACCGTGACCCCCCCGGCTGGGGCGCCCCCTCAGGTGGCTGCGTCTACCCAGGTTGCTGCTGCCTGCTCCTGTCGCTCCCTCACTCACCCGACTCTCTTTTGGCACCACCGCCTAGGTCACCCTGCGCTCCCGCGTCTGCGTCACATGTCCCAGCATGGTCTCGTCCTTGGTCTCCCTGGTTCTCTCCCCGCTTTTCCCTCCTCCCCAGCCCCACCTTGCACGCCTTGCGTCGGGGGTCGGCTTCGCCGTGCCCCTCACTCCTCCTCGTTTCCCCCTACCGCCGCGCCGCTGCAGACCCTGCACATGGACGTCTGGGGCCCCGCCCCCGTCCATGGGCCGCGTCGAGAGCGCTACTTCCTTGTGCTTGTCGACGACTTCACTCGCTACACCTCGGTCTTTCCCCTGGAGCGGAAGGCCGACGTGCCTGCCGCTCTCATCCCCTGGCTTGTCTCTGCCCGTGTCCACCGAGGTCTCCCTGTCTTGCGCCTTCACTTCGACCGTGGTGGCGAGTTTGCCTCAGGTGTCCTTGGTCGCTTTTGTCGTGCGGAGGGCATCACCCAGACGTTCACCCTACCGGACTCCCCACAGCAGAATGGGGTCGCTGAGCGACGCATCGGTTTGGTCATGGAGGTGGCTCGCACCTCCATGATCCATGCCGGTGCACCCCATTTTCTGTGGCCGTTCACTGTGCGCTACGCTTCTCACCAGCTTAACCTGTGGCCGCACCCCCAGCAGCCGAAGGTTTCGCCGACCCGTCTTTGGACTGGGTCTCCTAGTGACGCGTCTGCGTTCCAGTCGGATGTGTATCTCCTATGTTTGCATAGACTGTATAGGGCCACCTCTTAGAGGGTACAACACTTAGGTATATTCACATGTACTCTCTCTCTACTGATCATTCAGTTCTCATTCTAACAGGGGCCTGCTAGGAGCGCGACGGGGTCGTAGGGGCGCGACGGGGCTGTAGGGGCGCACGGGGCCAGCTAGGGGCCCGAGGGTCCGGTAGTTGGCAGCACGGGGCAGAAGCGGGTGGGTGGACCTACCTACTCATGATACCATGTCAAGACTAGAAAGAATGAATTGAAGAAAGGAGAACAGGGGAGATATAGCGTTTGGGTTGTACCCACTAAGAGCATACCCTATCTAGCCTATAACTTCTATATAACAATATATGTAGAAGTTGACAAAATGACCTTAACGTTTCCAGGATTGGCACCTAATAGGCATCCTGAATGTTGGGCTGAGAAAAGCCCTTAGGATCCTTCCAGAGACTAAGTCCCAGTTGTAGAATGAGACTTGAGTAGTGCAGCGGAAGTTGAGGCAGTTGAACCCTTGTACTAGTATATGAGAACAAGTGATATTTTAAGAAAGCAAGCATACAGCAATATATAGAAAATAGGAAAGTAAAGCAGTTGTAGAATACAGTTGCAGGAGCGGTTATCGAGTCGCACAGCGACTCGATTGTCGCTTCGGTTACCATCCGCACTGTTGTAACGGTCAGTCGCAACCTCCGGTTGCGACCCTTCGAGTCCTTTCGTGTTCTTTGTCCATCCCCTTCATGTAACCTCCGTTGACTCGCGTACTCGTTACGATCTTCCTCGAGTGTGGTGCTACACTTCAGAAACGCTTAAGTCCTTGAGATATTTCCAACACTCCCCTTCGTTTCTGGAGTGCTGACGTGTTCAGATCCGGTGATGTTTGTCTGCCCGGTCAGCAGCATGCAGTAATCGAATTTCGTTTTCGCCAGTTTCTTCGTCAGGTAGTCTGCGGCCATTTCTGTTGTAGGGCAGTAACTGAGTTGAAGTCTCCCCTTCGCGATTTCATCTTTGACGAAAAAATACCGCAGGGCAATGTGCTTGCTTCGGTTGGCGAAGCCGTCCTTGTTCGCGATTTTGATCGCAGATTGGTTGTCGCAGAGGAGTGAGAAGACGGGCAGGGTCGCGATCTTTGCTTCCTCTAGCAGCTCTCGTAGGTAGAGTCCTTCCTTGGTCGCAGTGCAGAGGGCGATATATTCTGCTTCAGCCGAAGATAGTGCTATTAGTTCCTATTTACTCGACTGCCAGGAGATAGTTCCGATAGGTTCTAGTCGGTAGATGTAGCCCGTTCTCGATCGTCGATTTTCTTTGTCTCCCGCGTGGTCGGCGTCGACGTATCCGAGTAGTCGTACGGACGGTGTCGTTACTTTGCTGTAGGTGAGCCCGGTCGTCGGCGTGGAGACGAAGTAAAGTAGTGCCCGATTAAGTTCCTCGAGATCTTCTTGTTCCGGCTGCTTCAGATGCATCGCCAGTTGGCTCGTGCTGTAAGAGAGATCGGGTCGGCAGGTTATTGCTGCGAATAGTAGGCAGCCGAGCTTCTGCTGATACTCCTGGATTTGCTTCGCGGGGAGTTTTGCGGAGGTGCTGTTGTTGTTCCCGTAGCGGTAGGGAGTCGGGGCCGTAGTCGGCGTTAGGCCAAATTTCTTCGCAACAGTGCCTGCGTACTTTCCAGCGTGTAGGTAGAGCGCTGAGTTGTCTTCGACGACATTCAGTCCCAGGTACTGGGTCACTGCGTCGGCCACCGTGAGTGTCAAGTCCTCTTTCAGCTCCCCTTCGAACCAGGTGGCGATGTCAGTAGTAGAACCGATGTAGAGCAGGTCGTCGACGTAAACGATGAGTAGGATATACTCTCTTCCCTTTTGCAGTCGGTACATGCCTTGGTCATGCGGCAGCTGTAGGAATCCGATTTTTACGAGGCGACCGTAAAGATGCTGCTGCCAGAGCCGCGGGGCTTGCTTGATCCCGTATAGGGATTTTACCAGCTGGCATACTTTCGTGGGGTCGTCGATGAATCCGTGGGGTTGCTCGACGAAGATCTCAGCGTCCACAGGTGCGTACAGGAAAGCGTTTGCGACGTCGATTTGGCGCAGTGGTAGCTTCTTCGTGGCCGCGACGGCGAGTAGGATGCGCAATGAGGTGTGACGGGAGACTGGGGCGAATGTTTCTGTGTAGTCGGTTCCGTATCGTTGATCGAACCCTCGTACGACCCATCGAGCTTTGAATCGTTCGGTGGAACCGTCCGCATTGGTCTTGATGCGGTACACCCATTTTCCCGAGAGGACGTTCTTCCCGTTGATGCTTGTTGCAGGTACCAGCTTCCATGTATTTCGGTCTTGCAGAGCCTTTAACTCCTTTTCCATTGCCTCCTTCCATTTCACCTTATGTTCCCCCCCCAGAGCCTGCGACAGAGTCGAGGGCTCGCGCGGAGATGGCGGCGGCGGATGCTGGACGGAGACCCATAGGCCGAGTATCTGCAGACCCGTTGGTGTGTGTCGAGGGGAATTTTCATTCCCGGAATAGGGTGCTTCGTCACCGTCTTCTGGATCAGGTAAGAAGTTTGGGCCGATGCGTTCTGAAACATTCGTTTCGACCGGGTGGGGTGTAGCGTAACCTTGGTCAGCGAAGTGGTAAAAAGTGTCGAGGTTGTTGCTATCGAGAGGATTGTCTTCATCGAGTGGGACAGGTACGGAACAGAAAGGGAGTGGTCCGGCAGCTTCCGAGGCTCCAGGTACGTCTTCTTCTGCTGCGTCAGCCTCGGCAGCACGGTCGGCGAAGGAACGAAGGCCTGCGAGGCCGTCGGTGGGGTCTCGTGTGTTGGCAATGTTGTCCAGGTAATGCTGCAGCGTCAGTCGCTCGTAGAAGATAACATCACGTGATGCCACCGTATTCTTGTCTTGTATGTCGAGGATTTTCCATGCATGAAAATGTTTGGCGATGCCGAGGTGTAGTCCCCACCGAGCTCGTTGAGTGAAGCGTCCTGCTCGGGCTGTGTGGGGTCTGTACTGTACCATGCAACCAAAAACTCGAAGTAATTTTGTGCTGCCCCTTTTTCGTGTCCACAGCAGGTGCGGTGATGCGTTGTTGGGGAGCGATGACGAGGATAGCAAATTGTGCAGGTGGACTGCATGGTTCATCGCGTCTGGCCACAGTGCGTTGGGCAGTCTCATCCCCAGGAGCAGCTTCCGCATCGTCGTCTGCAAGGTCCGGTTCATTCTTTCTGCGACCCCCTGTTGCTGGTGAGCGTAGGGTAGAGACACCAGGCGTCTGATTCCTCTTTCCGCCAGATAGGTCCTGAAGCGTTGTGACTGGTATTCCAGTGCACCGTCTGACTGGAAGCTCTTGAGCTTGGTTCCTGATTCTCGTTCGGCGATGGGGAGCCATGTCGTGAAGGCGTCGAAGGCTTGATCGCGCGTCTTGAGGTTGTAGTGCCAAACATATCTTGTTGCTGCATCAATAAAAGTGATGACGTAGGTGAAGTCGGCCTCCGTGTCGTCTCGAGGCATGTTTAAGATGTCGCTGTAAACTTTTTCCATCGGTGCATATGCAGGCGCGCTTGGATTGTGATGTGATGGGAAGGGTTGATGGGGAAGATCTGCTTCGGGGCACGTGAAGCACCGTGCGCGAGGTCTTCGAAGTTCTTGGCCGCTTGTTGTAAGAAGGGCGTTTCGTTCTAATACTTCGGCTTGGATTGTTTGTAGTACGGTGCTGTTTGCAGGATGCCCAAGGCGTTGGTGCCAGATGTCGTCGGAAGCTCGATGGCCGGGCGAGCGTTGGTACATGTCGGTGTTGGAGAAGAACGCGACGACCGTGGCAGGACTTCGGCAGACTTCTCGTGTGATGGGTATAAGTTGATCTGCTTCAGTTGGTGGTCCGCAGATCGCTGGTGGTGGTACTCGGCTGGGTCCTGCTGCTGCTACTGCAGGTGATGGTTGGGAAGGGACACTTGCTGGTACTTGTCTTTCTTGTCTGATGACTGCTAATGCTCGTGTTCTCTCTGCTGCAGGTATGGTGTTGGAGTACCAGAATCCATCGGGGTTGAAGTCGGGATCAAGATCCGGCGGGTGTGTCCAGGCGGCGAACGACACAATCCCATCGCTGTCGGCAATACCGCGGTCGGGGACGAAGTCCAACACGAAGACGCCGGACTTCAGGAGAGCACGACCGATGAAGAGACCGCCCTTCCCGTGGTAAAGGCGAAACTCGTTGGAGTAGGAGTCGCACTCCAGGTGAATCCCTTTTGCCATTAGTTGGCTGACGCTTAGTAAGTTGTATCCCAGGTTGTCGACGATGAGGACCTTGTTGAGTTGAAGTATAACGTTTGTCTCCATGGATTGTAACTGAACCACTCCTTGTCTGTTTGTTTTCAGGTTTTCGTTGTTGGCGACGGTGATGATGACGTCGCGGGTGAGGCGTCGCTCTCGTTGCACGAAGCGCCCGGAAGAACACATGTGTTGGCCGCAGCAGCTGTCCAAGAACCAGGTGTTTCGCCCGGTGGGTTCGGCGTTGGCGACCGCAGCGTATGTCGGGTTGACCTCAAGTCCTTGTGAGCGCGGCGGCGGAAGTTCTTCTTCGTCTGGTGCGTAAGTGGGTGGTGATCCGGGTGCGCAGTTGTCGATGTGTACCATGCAGTTAATGATGTTCGGTGTCCCTTGTGCAGATGTGGAAGAGCGCCTTGGAGGGCTTTCTTGAGTGGAGGCGACGTTTGGGTCTACTGGACGATAAACACGAGGACGTGTGCAGTTGACTTTGGAATGTCCGGAAGTCTGACAGTTGTGGCAGAACGGTGGCACGAAGGTGAGTCCTCTGTTGTCGCGTTGATCTTGTTTGCCGCGTCGATTTTAGTTGTTGTCGTTCCTTCGTTGAGTGTAGAAAACTAACTGCTGCTGCTTCCTTGGTTGTCTTTCTTCGAACAGGTCCATCTCCTGTTGTTCAGCGTGAAGTTCGGCGCAGAGGTGCATCTCCGATATCCTTCCGTGGGCGCGAAGAAGCGAGCGTGTGGTTCTCCATTCTGGCCCGAGCCCGGCGAGGACAAGTGTCACGAAGCTTTCTTCAGTGATTATTCCTCCGCACCGAAGCAGGCGGTCGCGGAGTGTTTGGCATCGACTCATATACTGCATCGCCTTTTCCCCAGTCTTCATCTGTATTGTTGTCAGCTGTTGCATGAGTCTGCTTTGTGTCACGCTGTCGTTTGCTTGATAGAGACACTTGAGATGATGCCATGCGAGTTCCGCGGAGTTTCCGTAGCTCCGATACGTTCTGATGCTCTGCTGTTCTTGTGGCGACAGGTTCCGCAGGAGAACTGTATACGCCAGCAGCGACTGATACGTAAAGATTTCTTGCTCCTTTCCAGTGCCGTTGCTTGGGAATGGCAGGGACCCGTTGAAGTATCCCAAGAGATGCGCAGCCTCCATCAGCAGCTCGAACTCAAAACTCCAGGTAAAGAAATCGTGTCCGTTGAATGGTGAGGATGTCTGCAGTTTAATCACGTGTGAAAACTGCGCCTGGAGGCTTAAAATCTCGTTTGGTGTCTGTTGTGATGCAGCTGCTGTTGGTTGGGCACGGGGCGGCATGAAGTCGAACGTCCCCGGTGAAGAGTGATAAGGCGCAAAGGTAGGCGCTTGATTGTGTCGCCCGAACGATGAGTTGTCAAGGCTCATCGGCGCTAATCCCATGTTTCCTCCGTTGCTTTGTGTTGAATGCGCAGGTGTCCTTGTCTGCTGCTGCTGGTCGAAGTGCGACATGAAGCTGAAGAACCTTTCCATAAGGTTCGGATCCACGCTTGAAGAGGGTGATGGAGTTACCATTTCCGGTGCTCTTCCTGTTGTTTCTTGAGCAGCACCGGTCTCGGTTTGCAGTCCTGAAGTGTGCAATCCAGAGTTGCTGGGTTGAGTGTCTTGGGCGCTGGGTGAGCCCGTAGAGGTCTTCTTGCCCTTGCTGTCCATGGCTTGTAATTAATGAAGTCGTTGAATTGCAGATTGTAGATAGAGTGTCGTTGCTGTGAGTTTGGTCTCTGACCAGCTCTCATACCATGTTGGGCTGAGAAAAGCCCTTAGGATCCTTCCAGACACTAAGTCCCAGTTGTAGAATGAGACTTGAGTAGTGCAGCGGAAGTTGAGGCAGTTGAACCCTTGTACTAGTATATGAGAACAAGTGATATTTTAAGAAAGCAAGCATACAGCAATATATAGAAAATAGGAAAGTAAAGCAGTTGTAGAATACAGTTGCAGGAGCGGTTATCGAGTCGCACAGCGACTCGATTGTCGCTTCGGTTACCATCCGCACTGTTGTAGCGGTCAGTCGCAACCTCCGGTTGCGACCCTTCGAGTCCTTTCGTGTTCTTTGTCCATCCCCTTCATGTAACCTCCGTTGACTCGCGTACTCGTTACGATCTTCCTCGAGTGTGGTGCTACACTTCAGAAACACTGAAGTCCTTGAGATATTTCCAACACTGAAAATCAGGAATTCAGATATCTGAGGCCCTGAGTCAGATCACTCCCAGACCCAGACCACCACCCACCCACCACCCAGACCACCCCAACACCCGTAAACAAACAAGAGGACCTACTACCGTAGAAGCACCAGTACTACCAGCACCAGAACCAGCACACATTGATGAACACACTGACCTGACCACATGCAGCGGCCTGGTACCTATAAAGCCCGCGCCCCACAAAGCAACTATTGCATCGCTCAACGCTGTAACACAGAGCTAACAGATTGCACATTTCACACGCACAGCCATCCCCCACCCCCCCCAACCCCCCCCCTGCACCAGGCACGTCAGCACAGCAGCCCCCCCCTCCAGCCGTGTGAGCAGTGTCTCTCAAAGCGCCCGTTAAGCATGCGACTCTTCAGGTGTCTTCTTCAAGCGTCTCCCCTTGTGGCCCCTTGCCCCCCCTTTCCCGCTCTTGCCGATTCTTGCCCCCCCTTGCCCCCCCTTGCCCCCCTCGCCCCCTCTCGCCCCACCTCGCCCCCCTCGACCCCCCTCGCCTCCCCTTGCTTTACCGCCTCATGGCCTGGGGAGGGGGCTCCTGCCCTCGCGCCCTGAAGATACGCACATTGGACGCAAAGCCTGGTGGGGGGTTGGGTGGGTGGGGTTTAAACGGGAGGGAGGGGAGAGGACAGCAAGGGAGAGAGTGCAGGGACAGTGTCTAGGTGTAGGGAGGTGCCTTTCGAGTTGACTCAAAGTCGCCTCATGGCCTGAGGAGGTAGCCCCTGCCTTCGCGCACCTAAACCTCAAGATGAGCACATTGGATGCAAAGCCTGGTGGGTGGGTAGGGAGGGAGGAGAGCAAGGGGGAGAGTGCAGGGGCAGTGGAGAGGCATAGGGAGGAGTGAGGAGGGAGGTGTGGGGAGGTGTGAGGAGTGTATGGAGTGTAGGAGTGAGGAGTGCGGAGGCGTGGGAGGTGTGAGGAGGTGTGGGGATGTGTGGAGGGGTGTGGGGACTTAGATCATCCAAGAGGGATGAGGAGGAAGCGTGAGGTGAGGCCACGCTGGGTGTGTGGTTGGCGGTGGGGGAGGGGGGAGAAGGGGATAGGCAAGGGGAGGGGAGGCAAGGGCGAGGTGTGTGGCTTTGGGTTATCGTTCCTGACACTGCTCTCAGTGGATGGAAAGCCGGGTGCATGGCAAGAGACAGGGGGCTTCCAACGAAGACGAAAGAGAGAGCGAGGAGAGAGAAGACGAGACAGGATAGGCCAGGGACATGACAAGACAGGGACCAAAGCGTAATGCACCACCACCTTTCCCCACAACAACTCTTCCCTCCAACACCCTCCCTCCCTTCCCCTCTCCCTCACCATCCCCCCTTCCCTGCCCGGCTCCTCTCTGTCCTTCCCAGGGTGTGCGCCTGCACGCACGCACCGAGCTTGGGGTCCCAGCCGCGGTTCTTGAGCTCGCGGTTCTCCTGGCACAGCGCGCACGGCAGGCAGCACAGGTGCGTCAGGCAGTCGCCGCAGGGCGACTCGGGCAGATCATACTTGTGCCGCAGCCGCGTGCGGTACCCTGGATGGGCGGGGGCGCCAGGGGGGGGGGGGGGGGGAGAGGGGGGGGGAGAGGAAGGGAGGAGAGTGAGACAGTGGGCACAGGGGGAATCCAGCAGATCGTTCTTGGTACTTGTCTGTTGTCCCCCACGTGTGTGCAGTAGCCTGGATGGGTGTTGGGACAGGGAGAGGAAATGGGTAGGAGGGAAAAGGGAGGGGAAAACGCAGGAAGGCGGTTGGAGGGGGGGGTTTGGGGCAAGCGGAGAGAGAACGAAAATGACATGTATGGGGCATTGAATGGAAAGTGGCAACGACGACGGGTGGATTGAGCAACAAAGGACGAGAGGGCAGCGAGGGCAGAAGGGGCAGAGAGCGGAGTGAGGCACAGAGCAGTGAGGAGAGAGGAAAAGGGAGAGAGCAGAGAATTGCAGAGCAGGGAGCAGAGAGTGGAGAGCCGGGAGCGGGGAGCAGAGGGCGGGGGGCGGAGGGCGGAGAGGGTGGTACCACAGGAGTAGGCAAAGCCACACATGCCCATTGTGAGAGAGTCGATGAGGAAGAAGAGACAGCACGCTGTCGATGACTCTGAGAGAGGGGGGGAGGGGGGATTGAGGGCGGAGTCAGGGAGGGGCAAGAGAGTGGGGGGATAGGGAATGGGAGAGTGAGTTGGGAGTTAGGGAGGGGAAGGCAGGGAGGGGACAGGGAGGGGGAGAGAGAGGGGGGAGGGGAAGGGAAGCGAGAGTGAAGGGGGTGGCGGGAGGATAGTGGGGAAGGAAGTGGGGGGAAATGACGAGGAAGAGAGGCAGGGAGAAGGTTTGAAGATGGAGGTGCAAGCAAGGGAAGCAGTGGAGGAGGAGTGGGAGAGGAGTGGGAGAGGAGTGGGAGAGGAGTGGGAGAGGAGTGGAAGACAGGAGGAGGAGCAGGGATGAGAGAGAGAGAGAGGGAGAGAGGCAATGTCATCTCCACTGCACGTAATGCTGGGCCCACGAGTTGTACGTGTGTGTGGATGGCGGGGATCAAAAGACAATGGAATGTAATGTTGCCAAGTGCAGCACGCATGTGGCTGGCAGTATGTGCAATAATATCGAAGCGCAGTGTCACAGAGAGGGGGGGGGGGGAGGAGTAGAAATGACCTTAAACGGGCCCGTAGCATGACGCATAACGGAGCAAAGCGTGCTGACCTGTGAACCCATCCGTTACAATGTTCACGTTCCGGCCCAGGATCACGCACGGGCAGAAATACGTGCAGCACGCTGCAGGGAGAGGAGAGCGACAGGGAGAGGAGAGGGAGAGGGAGAGGGCCGGCCAGGGGCAGGGAGGAGACGACGCGATAGGTTGAGGAGAAAGCGAGGGCACAGAACGATTAGGTGACCGAAGAAGGGATTCCAATAATTGTTAGCGCGGAACAAAAGAATAGAAGAAACAAGAAATAACAAAAGCAAACACAATCACGAAGAGCGCGAAGTAGAGTAGAGCACAAGCAGGCGGCCTCACGACAACGTGCTTCGAGGCGCCTCAAATCCACTCGCGACGAGCGAACAAGGTACTAACATGTGAGTCTAACATCCTCGCATCGCATCAGGGTCCTACAGATCTGTCTCTTGTCTCTCGTCTGCCGCACCACGCCCACCACCAGGAGCATAATGGCAGAGGGGTCATCTTACATGGTCTAGCTGTCGCACGATATTCACCACCAATAACATCCTGGCATCGGGATTCGCGAATAACATGTATCTCGCTGCGTCGCGATGCTCACCACCAGGAACATCTTCGCAACAGCGTCTTGGAACCACCAGGAACCACCATAATGTGTGGTTCCTGGTGGTTCCTGGTACAAGGAACAAGGAACATCCTGACATCGCGCTTCCAAAAATTCGTGCGTCTCGCTGCCTCACGATGCTAACCGCCGGGAGCATTCTCGCAGTAGCGACACAGGCTGGTCGTCCAGGTGTATTGTGAGTGGACTGAAAACTCACCGCCAGGAATATCCTCGCAGCAGCCGCACAGCCCGGTCGTCCAGGTCCCCGTGGCCACTCCCATCGGCGTCGTCTGAATCGCCATCGCTCGTGGTCACGCCGCGCGCCCCACGCCGCCTCACGCTACACGCCTCACGCCGCCACACGCGTCACGCCGCACGAGCAGCAAGCGGCTATTCTCCAGGGCGCAACAAATCCGATGAATCCACGCACGAGCGGAAGGTCGCAGAACGGTCCAACAGCAGGCCAACAGTGCGCCAACAGGCTGCTACTCGCTAGAATCTGGCGCGGAACGACGTGAGATCAGTCGCCGGTTGGTCATTCAGCGCAGCCACGCGACAAACGTCCAGCGAATCGTCCGACGGTTGCGGGTTGGCGGGCAAGCAGACCGAACTGAACGAATCTGCTGGAGAGCCAACGACGCTGGGATGCAGATGCGGCGGGAAGTCACGCCACTCGCGGCACAGCGCAAACTGCGATTCAATGGGAAGCTGAGAAGCTAAGAAGCCTGAGCCTAAGAAGCCTGAGAAGCTGGGAACCTGCTAGCCGTGGACAACACGGCTCGGTACTGTGAGGCCGGAGAAATAGGAGAGCACGGACTCGGAATTTCGGATTGGAGGGAATTTCGAGAGAGATCCGAGGAGTTGAGGGAAGGAAGGAACTATAGGGAGGGTGGGTGGGGGGGAGGAGAGTTGAATGGGGCAGAGGAAGTAATGGCACGGCTGATTGATGGTACTGTCACACCTCACTAGAGCTCGATTCTGCTTTAAACCCTTCTCAGCCCTTCTTGAAACGTATTGAACCGGAACCGCACTGAAGCGAGCTCTGATGACACGCGCTGATGGCTGGCCATGCAACAGGTGTGCATGATGGAATCGGCCCATGGGGATTGGTTCGACTGGATGGTAGAATGGGGTGAGGCGGGTTTTTCTGCGTTGGGGTTCGGTTGGGGAATGGTCTGTACTGGACCATGCTTCAATTGGGTGGGGTGGAGCTTTCGAGGCATGACGTGGAAGGCTTGAGATGGGATGGATTGGGAATGTGAAGAGGGGAGTATGGGAGCCAAGTGATTGTATCGATGTGACTATGAGGTATCAAAGTTCACGACATGGAGAAGGAGCGATTGGTTCGAGATTCTACAGAGGATGGGTTTAGAGCATGTATAAAGTGAATCACATGGTTCGTAACGTAACAACAGGGGTACGCCTTAGGGGATCCCATTCATCCGAGCAGTTGTGTAATGAAGCGCAAAGAGCGTGTGTTGAATATTTGAGTAGCGAGGAAACAATAAAATGAGGTAACATCAAAACTGTTGTGGTATAATCATACTTAAGCATTTCTGTAAGTAATCTCGATAGATATTGTAGAGTTACACCGTAGTTAGCATCCGTAGCATGACGTCAGCAAATAGCGCTCGTCTGGATGGTTACGTCAGCAAGCCGTTTCAGTCACGCGAACAGTCGCGCTCTTTTCAGTAGCAGTTAGAGCGCATAACGCAAATAGCTCGAACAAGTACATCACCGAATAGGTACTTCTAGCAGATATACAAATAGCTTGTACAACTTCAATTATCAACTTATTCTTCAGTAAATTCTGGTCAACACTTTACACGTTCTAAGACTTCCGCTGTCTTATTAGTCTACCATTCCAGCAAAGATCCTTGGTTAAGTCTTGAAGTATCGCAAAGCTGTAACGCCGACTCTGGTGTTACAACTTGTTAATACTGGCTGTTACTGGAGGTACTTCCAGTATGACTTTCTACTTCAAGTACTTGTGTCTGCAGATTCTATACTTAGTCTCCTGCACCACCTTTCAAATTCTTTCATGGTATGAGAGCTGTTTGGAATTAAGACTTTTGTCAATTCGATTATCGTAATTTTTACAAATGACTGGACCATCGTCGGCTCCATCATCTGGTTCCTCAACAACTGGACCTACGGGTGTTACAAATCCTACAGTCAACACTGGTCAAGTAGGGAACCCTTCAGCTGGAAACTTTCCACCTGCTTATTCTTCAATTGGGATGCTGCAACATCAGCAAGGTTTGCCTTCTGTGCATCCATTAGGGACTTCGTCCTCTGCACCTGCAACACAAGAGCAACAAGCAGCAGCATCAATATCAGCAGCTTTTAGTGGAATGAGTATCGACGGTTCGAGCTATGCAAGAGCTGCAGCCGCTCCAAGCTCCAGTTCTTCGTTTGCCTTCACACCTGCTCAACATCAACAATTTCAATTTCTTCAACAACAGGATCAAGCACAACAACAGTTTCAGCAACAACAGCAACAACAGCAACAACAACAGCAACCGCAACAGCAGTTTTCGCAGCAGCATACTTATTTCGCTGGCTCAGTTTTTCAGGCACCAAATCTTTTAAGCAATACACAGATCAAGACAACCATACCTTTTAATGGCGTTGACTTCTGCGCCTGGAGTTTTAAGTTCGAGCTCCTCACGAAATCCGCTGGATTGTGGCCGTTCTTCAATGGCGATTACAAGTATCCTGTTACGGGAACACTGATGGAACAACAGAGTTTTCTTCATGCTTCACTCGGCGCTTACACCATCCTTATTCGCAATCTGTCGCTGAAAGAGCAGCTTGGTATACGCTCTCTTCACACCAGTTTGATTCCAGCAGAATATGCGTAGAAGCATTTGAAGGGATTATACATGGCACAGGATACAATTTCAGTGAATAAAATTCTCTCACAACTGACAACTGTACAGATGCAGGGCAACGAGAATGTTTCGGATTATATCAACAGGGCTCGAACACTTCGTGACCAACTGGAAAAGTGCGGCGGATACTTCGCAAGGGACATGTTCGTCACAGTCCTTCTTGCCGGTCTTGGAGGAGAATGGCGGCAATGTCGATCTCTTCTTCGATTTCAACCAAATCATTCGGAAACATAAATTTGCTCCATCCTTCAAGCAGATCAGTAAGATATTGACCTGCAGACATCACGTAATAAGAAGGGAGCAGTTAACATCAGCTTTTATTCAACGCCTACGAAACGCGTCAACAAGTACTTCTGCCACTACTGCAAAAAGGATGGACACAGTATAAAGTTTTGCAACAAGCTTCAAGCTGATAGGAAAAGAGGAGGGCAGCAGCAGACGCAGCAGTTCGAGCAACCCGTGAAGCAGAATCCACCGACAACAACTCCTGCCACATTAGGGAAACAAGTATTCAGTTGCGTTACAACAGTTCATGCAACAGAATCAGATTTTGACGACGACGACGACAAAAATTCTATCGAGCAACCAGAAAACATGGTTTTACCTCAAGTATATGCTAATCTTGCTCGGATTATTGCAGGACCGAACACTTGGTATCTTGACAGTTGCTGTGGACAACACATGTGCTCTGCCGAGACGCTCTTCATTACTCATCAGCGTCCACTTCGTCGTCCCGTACCTGTCACAGTCGCAAATGGACAAACGATAATGGCAAAGTCAATTGGAAGCGTCATGTTGGATTCCGTGGACACAGGATTTTCCTTACACGTTACAAATGTCCTGATTATCGAGGGACTTGGCTTTAATCTTCTTTCAATGGCTCAACTCCTGCGACATAAGATCCGGCACAAGGCAACTGTGAGACAATGGACCAAGAAATTTATCATAATGATTCAAATACTTACATCGGGAGAGCCACCACTTAGTATGGGGTCTCCGTTCTTCAATTCTAGTCGCAAGGAACTACTGGATCTTCTGAGAGAGTTCTATCTCTTGGACCTTGGCAACATCCTGAAGAAACTGACTTCCAGAACGTTGACATTGACTTCAGAGCAACTGCAGTTCCAACCGGTTCTCGTACAGCAGCAGCGGTTATCACGGCTCTTGATTCTTGGCCAACAAACACAGCATAGGAAGACACGTCAGCATGGAGGAATTATTACGACACTTTACAACAACTTGAAAACAAACCTACAGCACTTTGGGGACCCAGCAGCAGCAGTGAAGCAGAGGAAGCCGAGCAGCAGACTATCAGTGAAGCAGAAACTGGGATTCTCGTCGGTCAACCTGCAGCAGATTAACAAGAAATAGAAATTGAGGAAGGGGAATTAATTCTTCAACCGGAAGAAGTGCTCGAAGTGGAAATTACAATGACAAAGTTACCTCTTAATCACTTCATTCCTGGCGAACTCGACGAATCACCAGCGATTTCTTCTTTCATCGTTTCTTCTTTTTATACTAACGCCGATTTTTATCTGCGATCAACAGGACACAAAGCAACAGAAGATATCTGGTATCAAAGGTTAGGACATCCTTCACCGGGAATCCTTAACCATACTATCCGAGCTTCAGTTCTTGACAAAAATAGTTTACTCTTACCGGATGGAACGGAGATGAAGCCGTCTTCACGACCAGCAGTCTGCACAACATGCGCGACCTCTAATCTTCATCACGAACCTTTTCCGAGTCACTTTCCGGGTTCAACTCGATACAAAATTATGCGGAAGGCTTACAGGGACATACTAAACTTACCGGAAGCAGGACCTAAGGGGGAGCTTTATATGATTTCATTTATCGAAGCTTCTACTCGATACGTTTGGAGCGTCAACATACCAGCTCGTCACATGGCTCACGCTATCTTCGTGGCGTGGCTCGCGGTGGTTGAAAGAGAATCGAAAGAAAAGCTGCAAGAGTTTCAGAGTGACGGCGCAGGGGAGTATACGAGCACAACTTTCACGGATTACCTGCAAACCCTTGGAATCAAGTGCAGGTTGTCCCTGCCACATCAACACCAATAGATGGGGGTAGCAGAAAGGATGAACAGGACTCTACAAGAGAAGATGCGAGTCCTGCTGACTCTTGCAGCATTGCCACCTCACTTTTGGACTCACGCTTTGGACTCGCGATGTTGAACTCGATTACGAACGTAACTGCCAGCAGTAACCGATGCCCGTTGTCTCCGAAGCAGCGATACGTGTCACACCTGAAGAAGTTGGGGGGGAACAGGGATCAGAACACAACTTCTCCGGTGTCAACTCAAACCAGTTACAGAAACTGGTTTACAAGTTTTGGGACTTGCAGTCGCAGTACAGTCAAACATCAGTAAAATTCTTGAGCCGAAAACAGTTCGCCAAGCCTTGACAAGTCCTCACAGGGAGAAATGGCACGAAGCCATGGACCGCGAGTTAGCGGCTCTGGAAAAGCGTGGCACCTGGGATCTTATCCTACTGACAGCAACCAAGGGGAGTAAATTTCTTACCAGAAAATGGGTCTTCCGCGTTAAGACGAACGCTGATGGCTCCTTCGAAAAGTTCAAGGCGCGATGGGTCGTCCGCGGCTTCGAGCAAACATTCGGACTCGACTACGAACTTACCTTTGCTCCTGTCGGCCGACACACAAGTGTCAGAATTCTTCTCTGCATCGCTGCCTACCGGAATTTCCGACTTCGTCAAATCGACGTCGCCAACGCCTTTCTATATGCGCCTGTCGACGCACTAATTCTGGTCGATTATCCACATTCCTACGAAACTAATCCTCCTAGCGTTTGCCGTCTCAAAAAATCACTCTACGGCATCAAACAGGCACCACGACTCTGGCAGCAGTATCTACACCGTCAACTATTAGCCGCCGGATTTTGTCAGCTTCCACACGACCAAGGAATGTACCTGCTTACCCACGGTATCG